ACACTGGCCGCGCGCAGTAGGGTGGGAGTGTTCTGGGCGCGACAGTAACACCGAGTGTGGGGCACCACCCAGTTTGGCTGACATGCGGTTTTGACAACACACACAGGGTATGTGGACTGGCAGCCCACCGTGATTGTCCTTGTCAGCATCAAGTGCTCGAGTACACCCCTCCTCTCACACCGTGTACCTGGCGTGCCCTTCCTTCCCTCCCCTCCTGCATCCTAATGCTGCAGCGGTAAGCTGCCACACCGGGGTGCCTTCCGTGCCTGGCGTGCACTTCCTTTCCTCTCCTTCTGCTTCCTTGTGTCCGTGTGCCTGGCGTTTCCGCGTGTCCCTTCCTTCCCTCCTGCGTCCTCATGCTGCAGCGTTTAGCTGCCACACCGGGGTGCCTACCATGCCTGGCGTGCACTTCCCCTCCTCTCCTTTGTTTCACCGGATTTATCCCGCGCGGCTGGGGTTTTCCGCCGATGTTGCTGTCTGGTGGTGCTCTGACAGCCTGAACTCCATGCAAGGATCACACTGGAAATCGGCGGTCAGGTGGCCCCTGGCCTGCTCCTGGCTGGCGTCGGCCTCCACTGATGATCGAAAGGGTTCAGTGGGGTCTCGCTCGCTGCCGACCTCCACGGTGCTTGGACTTCGGCATGTGTGGCTCGGTGCGCCCGTCGGCTGCTTTCTCCTGCAAGGATTTCGCTTTCGACATTTGCCACTGCTGTACAAACAAGATGTACTGCCTTTTTGCAGTCCTATATGTGACGAGGTTGCCCCTCTTCACTCTTGCGCTGACACGATGCAGTTGTGTCACCTACGGCACGGACGTCGTCCGGGTGTGCCTGTCGGTCCTGCTCGTCTCTGACGGCGCCTTGTGCCGACTCACGCCGAGTGACCTCTGCGTGCTTCTGGTCGCGCCGCCGCGCCGTTCTGGCTGCGCTTACTTGCTGGTCGCCACCAGGATCTCCACGCCACGGGGTTGGGAGTTTCGTTTCTGGCTCTTCTTCTGAGTGGCTGCCCGCGCGCTCGCTTCGTTTGCCTTTCTTTTCTTGCTGCCCAGTCGCGGCCCGACTAGTGTTCGGACGGCTTTCGACCTGCTTCGCGAGCCCGCAGACCAAAAAGTATCCCCACCAGCCACGCTTGCCCGGCCACCTGGCTGCCGTCGGCAGCTCTTGCACCCTCAGCCCTCGGCGCAGCCCAGCGTCCCCCGGCGGTAGACCTGAGTTGCCCGTGCGCGCTAGGTAAATTAGATCAGCTCGTAACCCGAGCCAGCCTCTGACGCCGCCGGCGCCTTCGCCTGCGGTTGCGGCCAAAAAAATTCCACCAGCCCATCCAGAAACGATTGCCAGGTGAGTTGGTTAATCAGGGACGCCTGGAAACACGCGGTCGTACAGCCCTTTTGGAAGCGTCCAAATTGGGTGGCCAGTGCCCCGAGGCCAGAAAACAAGGACCACAAATAGCTTCGCGCAGTGAGGCTTAGGAGATAAATCGTTGCAAGGAACGCAATGTGTTCCCTGTGGGAAGCGTGTCTGGCGCAGGTTGCTATATCTACGGTCCGACGCCAGCGTTGCACAGAGTATCATAGTATTTTATGGGCATCTATGGTCTTAGCTCTATCTTAAATTCGTGTGCGTTTTGAAGTTTGCAGCACCAGTGTTGCGATATCTCTTGTAGCGAACGGTGTCGGTGGTGCTGTAGCTGATGGCATCGTTGTTGTTGTCGTTATAATTTGTGTTTCTGGTACCGCTGCCGCTGGTGTCGATGTTGGTGCTACTGCTGGTGCTGCTGGTTCTGGTGATGCCTGGGACCATCTTGGGGGTAAGAGGAGGAGTAGGTGGAGGAGGAGGAGGAGGAGAAGGGGGAGGAGGAGGAGAGGAGGAGGAGGAAAAGGAGGAGGGGGATGAGGAGGAGAAGGAGGAAAAGGACGAGAAGGGGGAGCAACACGTAAGGAAGACCGGAAGGAGGAGGAGGAGGAGCAGGAGGAACGCGGCGCAAGGAGGATGATGAGGAGCAGGGAGGCGGCAGGAAAGAAGCAAGGAAGGAGGGGACGATGAGAAGGAGGACGAAAAGTCGGGCTTTGGGGATATGTCGTGGTGCGAGGTTCTTCGAAGGCTCGTAATGCCATTTGGGCGCCATCTTGGGGCCCTCTTGGGGTCCGCTTGGGGCCTTCCTGGGGCCCTCTTAGGGCTCTTTTGGGAGGTCCTAGAGCCCTCTTGAGGCTCTCGTGGGGGGTCTGGGAGGCCTCTTGGGGCCGTCTTGGGCTCCACTGTTCAAACCAGGGAGGGTCTTAATTCCCGTCGCCCCCTCGGAGGCTCAAACATGCTGTGTTGGGGCCTTCTTGGCTCGCTCTTGGAGCGCTCTTGGGCGCTCTTGGGGCCGTCTTGGGGGCCTCTTGGGCCCCTCCTGGGGCTACCTTCGGCAGTCTTCGGGCCATCTTGAGGCCTCAGGAGCCCATCGGAGGCGAAAACGCGAGAAGGCCAAACACATGGTTTTCCCGTATGGTTTTGACGGGTGTTGGCCCTTTGGGGGGGGGTCTTTGGAGGGCTCGAAGGGCACTTGAAGCCGTCGTGAGGCCGTCTTGGGACATCTTGGATGCGTGTCGGAGGCTATCTTGAGCCATCTTGAGGTATCCTGGCCGATCTCGGAGGCCATCTTGAGCTATCTAAAGCCTTATTTGAGCTATAGTGGGCCAACAATGACGCTCTGACACATCGCGGGGGAGCCCGTCCAGACCCAGGGAGGGGGGGGAGGTAAACCTCCCGAGCAGGGGAAGGAAGTAGGTTGGAAAAGGAAACGCGCAGGACCACCTGCGCCCAGAAGACTGGTGGGATTTGTTGGGGATGTCTCGAGCGAAACGCTCGTTGCGTGTCATGGTTTGTTCCTCTCCTGGGGACCAGAATTCAGAGTATGTCTCAGGTGAAATGCTTGTTCGACGTATATTCAGTATTGGGAAATGTGTTCGGGGAGCGCTTTTCGCGTCCCCCCGCCCCCCAGGACGCCCCAGGAGGCTCGAGAAGCGTGAAAACACATGGTTCCCAACGCTCCAGGGCGGGACAAGCGTTACAACACATGCGTTCCTAACGCACCAGGGCGGGAGAAGCGTGAAAACAAATGGGCCCCCAACGCCCCAGAGCGGGACAAACGTGAAAACACATGGGTTCCTAACGCCCCAGGGCGGGAGAGACATGAAAACAGCGGGCTCCTAACGCCGCGGGGCGGGATACGCGTGAAAACACACTGGTCCCTAACGCCCAACAGCGGGGCCTCGGTTGTGCTTGGCGAGTCGGAATTGATTTGGATCTTGAACTCGAGTTGGTCGAGTGCGCCGCGCGCTTCGACGTCCGCCAGTCCAGGGCCACCATGTGGTCAGGTAGGTCGGGCTTAAGCTCCATTTCAGTTCGGGCAGGATGTCGGTGCGGCGCGTCCCCTGGCACATGGCACGTCCATTGGCACGTCGCCAGGCGCGTCCCTTGGGACTTCCCGCGGCGCGTCCTCCTGGCATGTCCCCCTGTCAATTAGCTCTGGGGCAGTTATTATGTGCTCAGGCTGCTCGAGCTTGATCCAGATCAGTTCGGTCAGGACTCGGATGCAAAGGAGGACTCGATCCACAACGCTGTAGAGCACAATCGCGGCATGGCACATTGCAGTTCAGCACGGCGCAGCACAGCACAGCCCTCGGCACGGTACATCAAGATCGATACACTCAGCATTGCATTTGCCTGTCGCCCAGTTAGATGTCTTTGAAACGTTGCCATGCTTTACATTTCTATATTATTTTCAGCGTTCGTGGGTCGATCATGTTTACGGCCTCAGGACCCGATGACAGGCCCCAGGTGCTGAAATCAAAGAAAGGCGCCGAAATCGAACAAGCCATATCCCCAGATATGTGAATAGTCGTCGATCGTCGTCACCGCTGGTCGTCGATCATCGTCGGCCGTCGATCGTCGATCGTCGCCGCCGTCGCTCGTCGCCGCGGTCGTTCATCGCCGCCGTCGTTTGTCGTCGGCGTCACTGCCAGTCGTCGATCGTCGTCGCCCGTCGATCGTCTCAAAAGACCTCGACCGGAGCCCTGCACCCCATCTTTATGCCGCACTTCTCGAGCCAGATAGAGCCGTGACAGTCCAGAGGGCTCGAAGCAGGGCAAAATCGCCCCGCTGGTTAGCCAATTGCGACGCCAGGATCTCAGAGTCGTCCGTCGTTGGCCGTAGATCGTCGTCGGCCGTCGTCGATCAACGTCGTCGTCTTCATCGCTGTCGTCGTCGTCGTCCTCGTCGTCGTCGTCGTCGTCGTGATCGTCGCCGCCGTCGTGCTCGACGTCGTCGTCGTTGTCGTCGGGCGTCGGTCGTCTGTCGTCGGTCGTCGTCGTCGTCGTCGTCGTCGTCGGCCGTCGATCGTCGATCGTCGTCGTCGTCGTCGCCGTTGTCGCCGTCGGGTGTCTGGCGTCGGTCGTTGGTCGTCGTCGTCGTCGTCGGCCGTCGATCGTCGTCGTCGTCGTCGCCGCCGTCGTCGTCGTCGCCGCACCCGTCGTCGTGGTCGTCGTCGTCGTCGCCGCCGTGGTCGTCGTCGTCGTCGTTGTTGTCGTGGTCGTCGTCGTTGTCGTCGTCGGGCGTCGGACGTCGGCCGTCGGTCGTCGTTGCCGCCGTCGTCGTCGTCGTCGTCGTCTCTTTCGTCCTCGTCGTCGCCGCATCTATCGGCGTCGTCGATCGTCGTCGTCGTCGTCGCCGCCACCGCCGCCGCCGCCGCCATCGCCGTCGTCGCCGCCGCCACCGCCGCCGCCGTCGCCGTCGTCGTCGTCGTCGTCGTCGTCGTCGTCGTCGTCGTCGTCGTCGTCGGCCGTCCGTCGCCGCCGTCGTCGCCGTCGTCGTCGTCGTCGTCGTCGTCGTGGTCGTCGTCGCTTGTCGTCGGCGTCGTCGCCGTCGCCTTTGTTGCTGTCGTCGCCGCCGTCGTCGTCGTCGTCGTCGTCGTCGTCGTCGTCGTCGATCTTCGGTTGTCGGTCGCCGCCGCCCCGCGAGGCGGAGCTGCTGAGCAGCCGGCCCAGCGGCGGCCCTCCGCGGGGGGCCTGCGCCGAGCAGGCCCCGCGCACCCTCTGGGCAGCCCCGCACCCGCCGCGGCCGGGGGAGGGCTGGCCTGTTTGGGGGCGGAAGGCTCGGATACTCGGTTCGTGCTCCTCCTCCGCCTCCTCCTCCGCCTCCTCCTCTTCCTCCTCCTCCTCCTCCTTCTCCTCCTCCACTTCCTCCTCCTCCTCCTCCTCTGGGATTTTCCTCTCGCCCTTGGGCGTGGCCTGCCTGGTCTTCATGCGAAGCTTGAGGATTGCGTGGTCGCTGAGGTTCTGCGCGTCCAGCGTCACGGCGTCGTGCACCAGCTGGAGGTCGCACTCGGTCTCCAGCGCGAAAGACGATGCGAGTGAGACGAAGATCCGATCAATCGTGCGCAGCGTCCCTGAGTCCTTCGTGAAGTGGGTGGGGAGCGGCGAGCACACCTCAAGCATGTTGGGATTGGCAAACATATCTCTCCAGAATGGTTCGGATCGATTGGCCCTGCTGGCGTCAGACCGTTGGGCCTGACGCGGCCGAGGGTACAAGAGAGACTCCGCTGGCACATCGGTCATGTTAAAATCGCCAGCTGCAACGAAGGTCCTCTTCATAGGGTCCTCGTGCGCCCAGTGCGCAGCATCCCGCCACGCTCGCCGAATGCGATCCTTCCCAAGCTCGGTGAGGTCATAATTGTGGATGTTCATGATTTTAATGGCGCATTGCGTTTTGGGGTTGGTGATCGTCGTAACGGCAGCGCGCCCTGGCTCCAACTCGCGGCTCTGGATCTGAGGGAGAGCCGCCGTGCCAGCAGCGGCAATAGTGTGATGGTCGTGCCAAGGGATCAAAATTGCGATCCCGGCAGCCCCCGGACGACCGGTCGTAGAGCTATACATCTTGTAGTGGATGCTGTACTGGTTGAGGTAGTTCTGGAGCGTCTCGGTGAAGCCGTGGACTTCCTGGACCAGCGGATCTTCGCCAACTGCCTTGATGGTTGTCGCATCGAGTTCAAGCCTGTTTTTGAACAGTGGCGCGACATCAAGGCCATGATGACGCTCGCCGCGGAGCTCGCTCGGAACGAGCTGCAGTCCAAGGCGCTGGTGGTCGACAGCGACAGTGGGCGGCACGCGCGACTGTTGACCCTCAACTCGGTCGCCAGGGCCGTCTGGCGGCAAGACGCTCGACTGGCCAGGAGGCTCATGCATGATACGCCCATCGGTGCCGCGGTGCTCGAGCTCGTCGACGGCACCGTGCAGTTGAAGAGGCCTGGCGACTTCCACACGCACGTGCGGGAGGCGCAAGCGCAACTCCTGGAACGGGAGACGGCGGCGCTCGTCGACAGTGCCAGTGGGACACGCCGGCGGACGGCGGAAGTCATGATCAAGCGAGCGCTGCTGTGGAACCCCACCAAGCGCGCATTGGTGCTTTCGAGGATCCGCCACACGCAGCCTGCCGGGCAGGGAGGCAGCGCAGACGCAGTAGCTAGGGAACCTGAGTCCATGATCGCAGAATTAAAAAAGCATTAGCAGCCAGTGTTTACAGAATCGCCTGTACAGGAAGATCAGATTGGGCCGTTTCTTGATCGGCACATGCCTCGTTTCGATAATTCTTTCCTCCCTCTTCCCTCCCTCTCCGACCTCCGCCTTGCCTTGAGGCGGTCCCGCGACTCCGCGCCAGGGCCCGACAGGCTTCCCGCGCGAGCATGGCGAGCCCACCCTCTTCTTACAGAAGTGCTGCATGGCGTAATGTGTCAGATGGCAGACGGTTCCCCGCCACCTGCCGGTTTTAATTTCTGTCTTCTCGCTTTTCTCCCGAAAGGGGAGGAGGTCGCTGATTTGGTGGAGTGCACGCGGACCCCGGGCTGCACCCGCCCATTAGCTTTGAAAAACTCAGACAGCAAGGCGGTCGCAGCGGCACTGAATCTTCACATTTCGGGCGTCGTGTCGAAAGACGCCCATGGGGCCCAAAAGGGATTCGTCCGTGGGCGGCGCTTCGGTGAGCATATCATCGCGCTCGACGCTGAATCTAGGCGCGCGGGACACCTTCCTCAGGCTGCCACTCGGCTCCCTGGGTTGCTGAGCTTTGATGTTAAAGCCGCTTTCCCAAGCATGTCTCAAGTCTTCCTCCGCCGTGCTGTCGAACGCTTCGCCCTCCCTGCACCCTATTTGTCGTTGCTCGATGGGCTTGCTCATGATACTATTGGGCACGCACGTGTTAGGGGAACAGCTGGAGGCTCTCTTCCCGATCACATCGGGCGTCCCCCAAGGGTGTCCTCTGTCAGGAAGTCTGTGGGCGTTGGCGTTCGACCCCTGGATCCGGTGTTTGTGCGAGGCGTTTCCTACGGAGGACGAGGGGACCCTTGGGGGCTGCGCTGATGATGTAGGTGCGGTCACCATGGATATAAGCAGGACTTCGCACCTTCACCGCACATTCCAAAAGGCTGAGGAACTCGCTGGTCTCGAATTGCAGCCGCAAAAATGCTGCTTCGTGCCCCTTTGGGCGGACTGCGACGAGACCGTCCGCGAGCAGGCTCGCGCCGCCCTTGCACTGCACGCTCCCGGCTGGGAGAGTTTCAAGATCGAAGGGGCTGCCAAATACCTCGGCGTCATGCTCGGGCCTTCGGCGGACCTTCCGATACAATGGAAGGGCCCTGGACAAAAATGGTGGGGCAGGGTGCGGGAAGTGGCTTTGTCCAGGGCTCCTTCTGAGGCCTCGTTGCGACTTTATCTCACGGTTATCCTCTCCTGTCTCTCCTACGTTGCTCAGTTTTTCCCTCCTGACCCCACGCTTTTGGCGAAGGAGGGACAGGCTCTTCACAAACTACTGCGGTTGCCTCCTAATTCGTTCCGGGTCGCCGAGCTGATGGGCGTCGGGAGGTGGTTGCACAGCGCTGCTCCTATACCCGTCAGCGTGTCTTGCCTTGCCGCTGCGTGGAGAGCCAGCCAGTACACGTTTCGGGGGTGGAGGGCTTGGCGGGATCGGCTTCGAGATGCGGCTCACAACCACGGATTCCTAGTGGATTTTGTTCGCAATGTATGGTCTCCTAGGTTTTGGGTTCGGCGTCAGAGCATTGCCGAATATTATGCCTCCTTTGACTGCCCGCCCAACGATGGTAGGGTTCCGAGGCAGGCGTTTGAGCGGGCGAAGGCCGCTGCACTTGCTCTTGAATGTGATAACGTGCCCCGCTCCGGGAAGACAGGGGTTCGTCCTCAGACGGCCTTCCTCCGCTCGTTATGCTCCTCCCTCTACCCCGACGTGATCCCTGATCTTCTGGAGCGGCGTTTTCGCAAGTGGTTCCCCGATCGGCCCCCTTTGGGACGACCAGAGCTCGAAGAACGTTGGGCCAGGCTTCGAGACGTCCTCAAGGCGGCGGCTCCGTCACGGACATGGGCCCATTTAAAAACGCTCGCAGGGGCCTGGATCACGTCAGCCCGCGTGGGGATACTCACGCCTAAGGGTTGCCGGTTCGGGTGCTCCCAGGACTGTCTGGGCATCGAGGTCTGCGCTCCAGATTCGATCGGGCACTATTTATATTGCCCCCGGCTCTCCCACCTTCTCGCTCTCCCTCGTGCCATCATTCCTAATGACCCGGTGGTCCGATTAGGGCTTGGCCCTGCCTCCGCGTACAATGTAGACAGGGAGTACGATCCCATCTCCCTTGAGCGTGCTAACTATTTAGCCGCTCTGTCATTCCATATCTACCATAAATACCGTGCTGAGCTTCAGCAACATCCACGTTTACAAGGCACTTACACCTCGATATTGCGTGCGAGGCACGCCGCGATTGTCGCTCTTGGCTGATGCTGACGGACGGTGTCCCCCCAGGCGACGTGCTCTCCTCCTCCTCCTCCTCCTCCTCCTCCTCCTCCTCCTCCTCCTCCTCCTCCTCCTCCTCCTCCTCCTCCCCCTCCTCCTCCTCCTCCCTCCTCCTCCTCCTCCTCCTCCTCCTCCTCTCCTCCTCCTCCTCCTCCTCCTCCTCCTCCTCCTCCTCTCCTCCTCCTCCTCCTCCTCTCTCTCGTCCTCCTCCTCCTCCTCCTCCTCCTCCTCCTCCTCTTTATCTCTTCTTCTCCTTGTCCTCCTCCTCCTCCTCCTCCTCCTCCTCCTCCTCCTCCTCCCACCCCTCCTCCTTGGCCCCTTTTGGGCTTCTGTTGGGGCCGCCTTGGGGCCCTCTTGGGGCCGTCCTGGGGCGCCTCTGGGGCCGTCTTGGGGCCCTCTTGGAGGCCTCTCTTGGGCCGTCCTGGTGAGGGCCTCGCGGGCCGTCTCGGGGCGTCGGAGAGCCGAAAAGGCGCGAACGCCCAAATCCTCAAACATCGAAGGCAAATGTCTGATTCTTGCCTCTTGGGGCCCTCGTGGGAGGCCTCTTGGGGCGTCTTGGAGGCCCCTTGCGCCATCGTGAGGCCATCTTGGGCATCTTGGAGCGATCGCTCGGCGACTCGGGGCCCTCCTTGGGATGTCTTGTTCCGCTCTGGCGCGAACGGGGCCCACGTGTTCTCACGGTTGTTCCGCTCTGGCGCGAAACGAAACCAGGTGTTTTCATGTTTGTTCCGCTTTGGCGCGAACGGGGCCTACGTGTTCTCACGCTTGTTCCGCTCTGGAGCGAAAGGGGCCCACGCGGCTTCACGACCACCCAGGGGGAGCTATCCAACCTGTTGTCGTCTGGCCCCCAAGAGTGAGAGTCACACGAGCCAGAAACCATGAACAACTCGACCCCTGATGTGTAATAACTTGACCCGTTCCGCCCCGAGGCTTCGGGGAGGCCGCCTGCGGCCTCCTGGGGGGGCCTCCTGCGACGACAGGGGGCCCAGTGTTTTTCACGCTTGTTCCGCTCTGGGGCGAGCAGTTCACATGTGTTTTCACGCTTGCCCCGCTCTGGCGCGAAAGGGGCCCACGTGTTCTCACGTGTGTTCCGCTCTGGCGCGAATGGGACCCATGTGTTTTCGCATGTGGCCCGCTCTGGCGCGAACGGGACCACGTGTGTTCACGTGTGTCCCACTCTGGTGCGAAAGAGACCCTCGTGTTTTCACGCTTGTTCCGCTCTGGCGCGAAATTGTCACGCTTGTTCCGCTCTGGTGCGAAGGGGGTTCACGTGTTTTCACGCTCGTTCCGCTCTGGCGTGAGAGGGGCCCACGTGTGTTCACGCTTGCTCCGATTCTTCGAGCGAAACGCTTGTTTTCACATGTCCAGCCCGCCCGGGCGAATCACTGACATGATAATGTGTTTGTGTTGTTTGGAGCGAAACGTTCGGTCTGCAGGATTTGTTGAGGATGTCTCGAGCGAGGGCCTCGCCTGCAGCGAAAGTCCCCCTCTGCAGGATATGTTGATAATGCCCCTCGCGAACCGATGGTTTTGCATTGTTTGAGGAGGTGTCGTGCGGGGGCCTTGTCGTCGTCTGGGTGCGTTTCGTTTTGGTTCGGGTTCGCCCCCTGATCGGTTCGTCCCACTTCGGCACTGAAGCAGATCTTGAGTTCGAGCTGGTTGAGCCCCCCGCATGTCACGACTGCAGCCAGCTTTTGGCGAATCATGCGCTTACGCAGCTTGAGCTTAAGACCCAGATCAATTCGGACAGGACTGGGGTGCCAAGGATGGTTTATCCACAACGCAACAGACAACAGAACAGTTCAACACATCATGACGCAGCATAGTGCAGCACAGCACGTATCAATAACGATTTCAGCCAACTCGCGGCCCTAGTTATTTGCGAGGGGCCCTGGCACCTTGGAGAGGCTCCCTCGTCAGGCGACGCCATGCAGTTTCAAGATGGTGAGCCGAAGCATACTCGCCTTGGTTTGTCTTGTCTAGCTTCGATTCGGGTCGGGTCGGCCTTCGTCTCGGTTCGTATGGTTTCGTTTCGTCTTCATACAATGTTTGGTTTGGCGAGCGTCGGACCGTCCACTCTCGGTGCGTTTTGCGTCTGTTCGGAGTCGCCCCCTCTTGGCTCGTCCCGTTACGGAACTGAACCAGATCTCGAGCTAGAGCTGGTCGTGCGCCCCGCGCGGTTCGACTGCGACCAGCTCAATATGCGTTCAGGCAGCTCGAACTCAAGATCCAGATCAGTTCGGTCAGGACTATGATACCAATAACGGCCCGAACCACAACGTAATAGAGCACAGCACAGTTCAACGCGGCATGTCACATTTCAATTGATGACAGCACAGCACAACACATCTCCTGGCCCAGGACATCACCAGCGTTACTCTGAGCATTGCAATTGTTTGGTGTCCCGAAGAATCTCCATATTCAGCATTTCTATATCCCCTTCCCGGGCTCGTGGGTCGATCATGATCCCCGAAGGGGCATAGGCCCAGGGTTCTCATTTAGTTGGTTAGCCCTTTGGCCTCGACTTACGTAGGGCTGGCGAGTTTATCCTGCGATGCATAACGAGGTCGCGTAGGGCCGGCGAATTAAACAGTTGAGGATGTCCCGAGTGAAACGCTAGTTTTTGAACTTCCCATCGGTACAACATATGGTAAAGTAAACATGTTCGTTTGTTTCGGACGTCTCGGGCGAGACGCTTGGTTTGCAGACTTTGCTTTGGATGTCTCGAGCAAGACGCTTATGTTGTGTTATAGATCGTTTCAAATTCAGAGGATGTCTTAGGTGAAATGCTTACGTGCCCAGGTCTTGAGGATGTCTCGAGCGCTTGGTTTTACGCGTCCAGGTCGCCGAGGCGAATGTCTAACATGAGGATGTGTTGAGGAGATCTCGAGCGAGACGCTTGTTTTCACGCGTTCAGGTCGCCCAGGCAGATGTCTAGCATGAGGAGGTGCTGAGGATATCTCGAGAGAGACGCTGGTTTTCACGTGTCAAGGTCGCCCAGGCTGATGCCTAGCATGAGGATGTGTTGAGAGCGTCTCGAGCGAGACGCTTGTTTTCACGTGCCCAGGTCCCCCATGCGGATGTCTACCATGAAGATGTGCTGAGGATGTCTCGAGCGAGACGCTTGCTTTCACGTGTCCAGGTCGCCCTGGCGGATGTCTAGCATGAGGATGTGTTGAGGATGTCTTGAGCGAAAAGCTTGCCTTCTTGTGCCCAGGTCGCTCAGGCAGATGTATAACATGATATGTTGAGGATGTCTCGAGCGAACCGCTTGTTTTCACGTGCCCTAGTCGCCCAGGTGGATGTCCAGCATGATGATGTGCTGCGGACGTGTTGAGGGAAACGCGCGTTTTCACGTGCCCAGGTCGCCCAGGCGGATGTCTAACATGAGGATGTGGGCAGGATGTCTCGAGTGAGACGCTTGTTATCACGCGTCCAGGTTGCCGAGGTAGATGTCTAGCATGAGGAGGTGCTGAGATAGTCTCCAGCGAGGCACTTGGTTTCATGTGTCCAGGTCGCCCAGGTGGATGTCTAACATGAGGATGTGTTGAGGATCTCTCGAGTGAGACGCTTGTTTTCACGTGTTCAGGTCGCCAAGGCGGATGTCTGACATGAGGAGGTGTTGAGGATGTCTCGAGTGAAACGCTTGTCGCAGTAGAGTGCAGCGCAGTCCAACCCCCGCCCGTCCGTGGGTCGTCCCCTGGCTCGCTGGCGCGTCCCCTGGCGCGTCCCCTGCGACGTTCTGGCTTGATGTGTCCAGGCACGTCCCCTAGCCGCCGAGTGGCCGCCGAGGCGGCGACCTGCGGCGGCGACCTGCGGCGGCGACGACGGCGGCCCCGACGAGCCGCGGCCGCAGTGGCGCCGAGGCCGCGGCCGCGACGCCCCGGCTGGCGCCAGAGACGGCCTCGGTCGGCAGCGCGGGCGCCAGGCGGCGGAGCCGCCGCCCCCGGGCTCAGGGGCGGGCGACGCCGTTGCCATCGACCCCGGAACGGGTCCCCGGACTGCCGACGGAGTGTTTTGTTTCAGGCTGAGCGCTGCTTTCGGCCACAAGGGGCCCGTCGGAGCGTATTTTTTGATATACAGACTCTGTCAAGTTTGCTTGCATGGCAGGTTTCCCCCTCCCCCCACCCCTCTTCCGCTTGCTCAATCAGCGCTCGGCTGGAAAGGATTACCATGAGAGTGTGTCCCGACCCGCGTGAACTGCAGATTTCCTTTTGGGCCTCGCTTCGACCCCCCCCCACCATGTAAGTAAATTTGTTAGGAAAACCGGCGCTTGTCAGGCCCTGGGACCATCAAGAACAGATCCCGGACGACAATATATCCTCGGGGACATGGTCGGGACATCCGGGGCCGCAGATTGAAATTCTTCATTGCGTGGAGCTCCCCATATGTGCATCTATTCGCATGGACCTGTCCGCCGTGAATGTCTAGGCGCAAGAGCTTTCGAATATAAACGGGCTTCAGTTGTGACGGTCTGGTCATGAATCTAACTGAGAATGAATTGGGGTATGAATGAGCCTCAGTAGTATGAGCGCGTCCGTGCGCATGAGCCTGGGTCCTCCTGGGGCCTCCAGGGGCCTCCTGAAACCTACTGGGGCTTCCTGGGGCCTCCAGGAGCCTCTTGGGGCCTCCTGGGGCCTCCTGGGACCTCTTAGGGAGGATTCGTGCCCCAGGAAAGGCCCAATATATAGCAACAGACGTACATAAAACATTGCGGACTGGAGCCACAGGAGAAGGGGGCAATCTATAGGAACACACGTAAAACACCAAGGACTCGTGCCCCAGGAGAGGCCCTATAGGAACATAAGTACACAGGAGAAGGACAATCTACAGAAACCTACGTATAACATCAAGGATTCGTGCTCCAGGTGAGGCCCAATCTATAGGAACATACGTAAACCACATGGGACTGGAGCCACTCCTGTTGCCTTATGAGGCTTCCTGCTCCTGGGGCCTCTCGGGGCCTCCTGTTGCCTTCCGAGGCCTCCTGGCGCTTCCTCTGGCCTCCTGGGGCCTCCTGTGGCTTCCTGAGGCCTCCCGGAGCTTCCTGGGGCCTCCTAGAGCCTCTTGGGACACCATGTGGCCTCTTGAGTCTTTCCGTGGCCTCCTGATGCCTCCTGGGACCTCATGTGGTCTCCTGGGGCCTCCTGGAGCCTGTTGGAGCCTCCTGTTGGAGCCTCCTGTGGCATCCTGAGGAGAATCTGTGCCCACGAGTCTGGCCACCGATCGAGATATCCTCAAAATCTGGCCCACCTGGGGGGTGAAAATGAGCGCCTCGCTCGAGACACTCTCCAAATCTGCTCCGAAAGCGAAGGGTGTTGGGACAGAAAACAGGCAAACCGCTTGAGACATCCCCACAACACGGCCGCGAACGGGACCGTGAGATAACCCCTGGCGGCTCCCCATAGGGGGGGGGGGGAAATGAGCGCCTCGCTCGAGACATCCTCCAAATCTGCTCCGAAAGCGAAGGATGTTGGGACAGAAAACAGGCAAGCTGCTTGAGGCATCCCCACAAAACGGCCGCGAACGGGGCGTGCGTGAGTCTCAGCATGAGTAAGTCTGAGTAGGAGTAGGTCTGAGTATGAGTAGGTCTGTGTATGAGTAATGTTGTGTGTGAGTAAGTCTGGGTATGAGTAAGTCTGAGTGTGAGTCAGTCTGTGTATGAGTAAGTCTGGGTACGAGGAGGAGAGGGGAGGAGAAGAGGAAGGAGGAGTAGGAGGCGTCCAAGTAATAATAATTCACTGCGTGGAGCTCCCCATATGCGCATCTATTCGCATGGACCTGTCCGCCGTGAATGTCTAGACTCAAGAGCTTTTGAGTATACACGGGCTTCAGTTGTGACGGTCTGGTCATGAATCTAACTGAGAATGAATTGGAGTGTGAATGAGCCTCAGTAGTACGAGAGCGTCTGTGCGCATGAGCCTGGGTCCTCCTGGGGCCTCCAGGGGCCTCCTGAAACCTACTGGGGCTTCTTGGGGCCTCCAGGAGCCTCTTGGGGCCTCCTAGGACCTCCTAGGGAGGATTCGTGCCCCAGGAGAGGCCCAATCTATAGCAACAGGCGTACATAAAACATTGCGGACTGGAGCCACAGGAGAAGGGGGCAATCTATAGGGGCACACGTAAAACACCAAGGACTCGTGCTCCAGGAGAGGCCCTATAGGAGCATAAGTACACAGGAGACGGACAATACATATATTATATATATTATATATATATATATATATATATATATATATATATAGAAACATACGTATAACATCAAGGATTCGTGCTCCAGGTGAGGCCCAATCTATAGGAGCATACGTAAAACACATGGGATTGGAGCCACTTCTGTTGCCTTCTGAGGCTTCCTGCTCCTGGGGCCTCTCGGGGCCTCCTGTTGCCTTCCGAGGCCTCCTGGCACTTCCTCTGGCCTCCTGGGGCCTCCTGTGGCTTCCTGAGGCCTCCCGGAGCTTCCTGGGGCCTCCTAGAGCCTCTTGGGACACCATGTGGCCTCTTGAGTCTTTCCGTGGCCTCCTGATGCCTCCTGGGACCTCATGTGGTCTCCTGGGGCCTCCTGGAGCCTGTTGGAGCCTCCTGTGGCATCCTGAGGAGAATCTGTGCCCACGAGTCTGGCCACCGATCGAGATATCCTCAAAATCTGGCCCACCTGGGGGGTGAAAATGAGCGCCTCGCTCGAGACACTCTCCAAATCTGCTCCGAAAGCGAAGGGTGTTGGGACAGAAAACAGGCAAACCGCTTGAGACATCCCCACAACACGGCCGCGAACGGGACCGTGAGATAACCCTTGGCGGCTCCCCTTAGGGGGGGGAATGAGCACCTCGCTCGAGACATCCTTCAAATCTGCTCCGAAAGCGAAGGATGTCGGGACAGAAAACAGGCAAAAAAGCTTGAGACATCCCCACAAAACGGCCGCGAACGGGACCGTGATATAACCCCTGGCGGCTCTCCTCAGGAGGGTGAACATGAGCGCCTCGCCTCGGGACATCCTCCAAATCTGCTCCGAAAGCGAAGGATGCTGGGACAGAAAACAAACAAACCGTTTGAGACATCCCTACAACACGGCCGCGGACGGGACCGTGAGATAACCCCTGGCGGCCCCCCGCAGGGGGGTGAAAATGAGCGCCTCGCTCGAGACATCCTCCACATCTGCTCCGACAGCGAAGGATGTTGGGACAGAAAACAGGCAAACCGCTTGAGACATCCCCACAAAACGGCCGCGAACGGGACCGTGAGATAACCCTTGGCGGCTCCCCTTAGGGGGGGAACGAGCGCCTCGCTCGAGACATCCTTCAAATCTGCTCCGAACGCGAAGGGTGTTGGGACAGAAAACAGGCAAACCGCTTGAGACATCACCACAAAACGGCCGCGAACGGGACCGTGAGATAACCCTTGGCGGCTCCCCTTAGGGGGGGGAACGAGCGCCTCGCTCGAGACATCCTTCAAATCTGCTCCGAACGCGAAGGGTGCTGGGACAGAAAACAGGCAAACCGCTTGAGACATCCCCACAACACGGCCGCGAACGGGACCGTGAGATAACCCCTGGCGGCTCCCTTGAGGGGGGTGAAAATGAGCGCCTCGCTTGAGACATCCTCCAACTCTGCTCCGACAGCGAAGGATGTAGGGACAGATAACACGCAAACCGCTTGAGAAATCCCCACAAAACGGCCGCGAACGGGACCGTGAGATAACCCCTGGCGGCTCGCCTCAGGGGGAGCTGAAACCAGCGCCCCGCCTGAGACATCATCACAATCTGCTCTGGAATCCAAGGATGCTGGGACAGAAAACAAGCAAACCGCTTGAGGCATCCCCACAACACGGCCGCGAACGGGGCGTGCGTGAGTCTCACCATGAGTAAGTCTGAGTAGGAGTAGGTCTGAGTAAGAGTAATCATGTGTGTGTGAGTAAGTCTGGGTATGAGTAAGTCTGAGTGTGAGTCAGTCTGTGTATGAGTTGTCTGGGTATGAGGAGGAGAGGGGAGGAGAAGGAGAAGAAGAAGAGGAAGGAGGAGTAGGAGGCGTCCAAGAAATAACAAGAACCCCATCTTAGGATATTGGGAACAAGAACCCCATCTTAGGATATGGGGAAAACAGATCAGAGGATATTTGGGTCCAGGCTTCGATGGCTGACCATGTCCAGAGCGTAATAACAAAACGGCATCCCGTGTCTGCCGCTTCCAGGCCCATCAGGAGGTCAAGTCGGGGGTAACGTTCTAATGGGGGGACATGATCAGAGGGGACGCAGCGACCCCTGATCGACCACTCATTGTCAACAGGGGCTCGATAGCCTTAAGTCGGGCCTGTCCTTCTACAGGGGGAATATTCAAAAATAGCCAAAAATTGTATGGGGACGATTGTTTTTGTAGTTGTGTTTTTTGTTTGTTTGTTTGTTGATAGTTTGGGTCTCTTGTTTCTCGCCCAAAATGCCCTTGTAGGGGGACACGCCCGGCTTAACGATAGTCCCACCCCGCCCAGGAACATTCGGATTCGCTATCGGGAGCCCGTCGGCGACGTATAGTCGATTTTTCCACCCCTGAGCTGGTCCCCCACCCCACGAATGCCCCTCGGTCCAGGCTTCGATGGTCGACCCTGTCCAGCGTTTTTCGGCGGCGAGCCCAGGGGGAAATGAGAAGGGGCGAGCCTTTTCAGGAGGCTCAGAAGTCCCCCAGCCTTCTGAGAAGTTTTCTGAGCCGTCCCCGAAGACACAGAAAACTTGTCAGAAGGCCAGAGGGCGTCTGAGAAGCCCCGCCGCCTTCTGCGCTGGATGACTTTCCAGCGCTCGGCCCTCGTGCGGCCAGGCACGCTGGGCCTCTGCACGCGTCTCCGGCGCGTGGCTTCCCGACGTCCTGGACCTGGCCGTATGCGCTTCCGAACATCACCAGGGCCGCTGGTTGCGGCTCCTGGGTATGGCAGGCCCTCGTCGGCTGCCCGAAGCATCTGGAGGCCCCCGGAGACTACCAGGGGCATCCATCCGTCGGCGTCGGCGTCGTCTTCGTGGTCGGCATCGTCGTCGCCTTCGGCGTCGTTGTCGTCGTCGTCGTCGGCGGCGGCGGCGTCGTCGGCGGCGGCGGCGGCGTCGGCGTCGTCGTCGGCGGCCTCGGCCTGGGCCTGGGCCCTGGCCCGGGCGTCGTCGTCGTCGTCGTCGTCGTCGGAGTTCGTCGTCGTCATCGTCGTCGTCGTCGAAGAAGAAGAAAGAAATGGAGGATCGGAGGAAGGTTAACGGCGGAGGAGAGGGAAGAGGAATAATCGGAGGAGGAGGAGAAGGAGGAGAAGGAGGAGGAGGAGGAGGTGGAGGGGGAGGCGGAAGAGGCACAGGCAGAGGGAGGAAGAGGAGGAGAGGGAAAAGGAGGGGGAGGAGGAGGAGGAGAGGATGAGGTAGGGGCAGAAGCGGTAGAAGGAAGAGGGATGAAGAGGGAGGGGAGGAGGACGAGCACACATTGGGAAGGTAAAGGGCTGGTCGACCCGACCCAAGCCGATACCTTAGACCCCGGTGGCCACAGTTACATCGTCTCTCTCAGGCTCTTGATCGCTCTCACCTGCTCCCGCCCCTTCAGTGAGGAGCCGGGCGGCCGGGCGGCCAAGAAGGGGGCAGACGGCATCGAGGGTGCCGCCCTGTCTGCAAAAGCGTCCACGCACATCGTGAACATGCACCCCGCTGCAATCCTCCCTGAGACGTTCGAGGGTGCTCTCAGCGCAATGTCCACAGGAGCGGCAGGCCGCAAGGAAGGACTGCACTGCCAGATGCTCGCAAACAAAACGACCATGCTTCCTCGGTGCGCTGATCGGGGCAGACCGGGGGGGGGGCGCTCTGCCAGGCACCACCTCCTGGGATCTGGACTCGCGCGTGCTGTCTGCACGGGCACGCGCGCCACCCGCAGGGCAGAGCTGGTGGCGAGCAAGCCAGCTCCACGCGTGAAGCTTCTTCGCCCGGGGTCTCTGCGGGCCCACGCGCGCCTCGGGGCTTCGCGGGCGGCGGGGGCGGCGCAGGCCGGGCGCTGACCGCGCCAGCCGCTGTCCACAGGCGGGCTCCTGCTCGTCGGGGGCTTCTCGAAAGCCGTCTTTCCCGTCTCGGGGGCCAGCGTGACCCACAGGGGAAGAGCTTCAGCGGCGTGCCCGAGGAGACGCTGCGACAGCTTGCTGTGTGATCTTTTGAAGTACTCGAGCTCTGGATTCGACTGGCCTGGTATCTCCGCTGCCGCAGCCTCGGCGACCCCGTCTGACCATTCGTTGGCTTGGGCAACGTACCAGGCTCACGCCCGTCTTCAGCGTTTCAAGACTATATAATGCGCACTGGTCTTCCCTTTTTCGATTCGAGGGTTGAGGCCCGGGCGCGGGCAAGGACAGGAACTCGAGAACACGTGCCCCTCTCTTAGCTGCTCTGATACGCACGTTTTGAAACGTAACACGTGCCGTGTTCAAAGCGTCCGTGTTCCAAACGTACGTGTTCAGTCTACGTGTTGAGCTCCGCATCAATACGCTGCGTGTTGCGTGTTGCGCATCGGGGCAGCCAGGGCCCCTCTTGCCAGCATCTGGACTTTGGCACACAGTGGCGGGCCTCTGCCAGCCGAGGGGGAAGCCGTGGCCACAGCGCATCCCCGGGCGCTCCGCCGCTGGCGAGGATGCGGGGGCAGGGCGGCCCCCCAGGGGGTCCCGCAACGCTGGCAGCCGGGTCTCCCACCGAGGCCGACGGTTCCAGCGGCCCAGGCAGGGGCGTCGCAGATACGTCGCAGACTTTTTGTCGGTGGTGGGGATGTGAGGAGGAGAAGGCCCTCCCAGAAGGTTCGGAAGTCCCCAGCGGCAGGGAATTGAGAAGGAGAAGGCCTTCTCAGAAGGTTCGGGAGTCCCCTGGCCTTCCGAGAAGTCTCCTAGGCCTTCCGTGAAGACAGGAAAAATTGGTCAGAAGGCGCGGAGGCTTCGGAGAAGTCCCGCCGCCTGCTGAGAAGGCCTTGTCCTTCTCATTGCCCCCCGCGCTCGCCGCCAAACAACGGCCCAGGCAGGGGCGTCGTAAACTGTTCGTCCAGGTTTCGGGGGGCTCCCGCCGTGAGAAAAAAAAAAACACCCCGCCAGCAACGGGGGCCCCCGCGCATGGACATGCCTGAGCGCCGTGCTGCACTGGGCGACGCTCGGGCGTGCCGCCGCCCGGGGGTCGGCCCCCGCCACTTGGGCTCTCGGTGCCGGTGGCCCCTGCCTCTTCTTCCTCCTCCTCCTCCTCCTCCTCCTCCTCCTCCTCCTCCTCCCCTTCCTCCTCCTCCTCCTCCTTCCCTCCTCCTCCTCCTGCTCCTCCTCCTCCTCCTCCTCCCTTATCCTTCCTCTTCCCTCTCCTCCGCCCTTTTTGTTTCGATGTCTCGCATTTTTAAGAATATTTTCCGCATGCGAGTTATCGAGTTGACGCCCGAACTCCACGAGCCCGATCCTGATCCCGATCCCGATCCTCCTCATCCTCCTCCTCCGCTTTATCTCGGCCTGGGCATCAAGAGGTCCGTGTCGCGCCCCGGTGCCATATGTAAGGGGTCACGACCCAGTCCCCACGGGCTGCACAACCTCTTCTCCGGTCGATCTGCGCTCTGGGTCCAGAATCCAGACCACCGCGAGGGTGCCCAGATCGGTGCACATCTCCTGATCCCTGCCGCCCCCCCGCCCCCCCCCCCCCCCTCCCCGCGCGAGCGCTTGCGAGGCATGCAGCTATTGCTGCCCAGCCCGGCGCCGAGCAGTTGACCGAGGCATTCGCCGGGCGGGGCACCTCCCCAGGAGTTGGCAAAAAAGCCTCGCTGCGCTCGGCAGATCGGCTGTACCGAAGGAGTGCCCCCTCGGTACACTCGGCCACGCGCAGAGGGGGATCAGGGGGGAGGGGCGAAGCCTTCGCAGAAGCACCCCAGCTTCTCAGAAGGCGCCAGCCTTGTCTGTAGATGCAGGGCTTGATGGGCCTGTTCTCCACCATCACCGCCATAAGTTGGAGGGGGGAAGAGGTGGAGGATGCGGTGGAGGAGGAGGAGGATGCAGAGGAGGATGCAGAGGAGGAGGAGGAGGAGGAGGAGGAGGAGGAGGAGGAGGAGGAGGAGGAGGAGGAGGAGGACCCCCTCCCCCTCCTACTTATAGTGGTGGTGGTGGGAAACAAGCCGACCAGGGCTGTTGCTTTCTGAGTAGCAGGCCCCTTACAAGAAACCTTCCCCCCTCCCCCTGGCCCCGTGCGCAAGCCGCCAAAATGCACGGCGGGTTCGTCTCGCATCGATTCGGCGACGACCGCACCAGGAGCGTTCAGGGTTGCACGCCACCGCAGCGGCCGTTTGCCCAACATCGAGCATTGAGCGATCTGCGCTCTCGGAAAGGCCTTGATCGTTCGAGGCTGAACGATCCGCGCGGTGTCCGAAGCCAGCGCATAAGTCGTCACGACACGAAGCTGCCCCAAATGACCTCTGGTGCGCGGCTTGCCGGGGACGCAGATCTGATCTCCTTCATTCCGGGCACAATAGATCACGACAACCTGAACGAACCCGATTTTCTGGAGGGCCCCTTGGGGGAGAATCCACCCACCTCGACATGAACTTTCTGGTTGTGGCTTCGGTCGATCTGGTCGTCCTGGACGCCCACATCAACCACAACACCCAGCACCAAGCTGGCTCCAGTGCTCCAGACGAGTGCTGGCATGCGCAGGACATCCCCGCGGGCGTGCCTTCGATGTGACGTCCCTCCTTCGCCGACCCGAACGAGCCTGGGCCGCATGACTATGCCCAGGGCCGGCCCGAACGAGCCAGGACCGACTCGGACCAGCCTTCACCGACCCGAGCGAGGGCGTGCCCTCGATGCGGCGGTGGACGCCTGCTGTCCCTGCAGGCACGTGCCCTGCCCTGGGTCCCCCCTGCCAGGCAGGAGGGGAACAAAAGCACAGACATGTCGGAGCCCCCGGCCCGTTCTCGCCCCGAGTAGTCTTAAGTCGGGTCTGTCCCTTACCTCTACAGGAGAAAAATTCAGAAATAGTAGCAAAACGGACTGGGAACGATGTTTTGACAATTTTGGAGCATTGTTTGATTATGTTGGGGGTATCATGAAGTTTTCGAAAAAAATCTTCCTGCAGGGGGACAGGCCCGACCTAAGAGTAGTCTTCTCTGGCGGCCCAGGATCATCATCATCATCATCATCATCATCATCATCATCATCATCATCATCATCATCATCATCGTCATCATCATCTTCGCCGGGAAATCGTTGATTATCCCCCGGGGATTATTATCGGGAGCACAGGGTTTGTCGTCTTTGGCGGCCCTGGGGCCCGGCAGAGGCCCGCCAGGGGCCGAGAGCAAGTGATCCGCCTCGGCTCTTAACTGATGCCTCAGAGGTTTTGGCCCCCCCTCCTCCTTCTCCTCCCTTCTCCCTCCTCCTCCTCCCCTCCTCCCTCCTCCTCCTCCCTCCCCTCCCCCTCCCTCCTCCTCCCTCCTTGTTCCTCACTCCCCCACATCCCCCTCCACATCTTTTCTCCCGCCTCCCTCCTCCCCCGTCCCTCCTCCCGCATCCCTCCTCCCGCTCCCTCTCCTCCCTCATCCCTTCTCCCCTTCCCCTCCTCCTTCTTCCTTTCTCCCTCCTCTTTCCTTCCCCCCGTGTTCCCGCCGTCCCCGTCCTCCTCTTCCACTGCACGCCCGCTGCCGGGCATTGACAGGG